GGAAAATCCGGACGTATGGTAACCCTACTTATTCCCAGAGCAAGTCCACTATATGCACAAAATGAGGCCATTGTCCTATGGCAGAAGTGTGATCATCTAATTAAAGATCGTATCAAATTTAGGTTGCACCAGGAACACTAACTATGGCATTTCCAAACTTCTAAATGATTGATTTTGCAACCTTAATAATGTTCTTTTAACTTGGTTTATTTTCTGCATAATTTTTTAGCTCTCTTAAAAAAACAAAACTGAAAAACCAGAAATTCCATCATGTTGCATTATACTGACACTCACCTGGGACATCAACAACGTTGGAACCTTCAGATCCACCACACAGACCTCTGCCACTTGAGCTACCTGAGTAAATGATAGAAGTAGTAGGTTGCCATCTTCTACGTGAACTAGCACTACAGGGGGATGGGACACTTTTTGCCTGTGGATTTCACAGACATTAGCTGCCAGCGGAGGAATGGTGAGACTCAGAATTTTGAATTCCATTTCAAGCTCTTCAGAGGAGTGTGCTCTAGGATGCCCAACACTGACTCCTGCTGCTCCATCTCCTCCAATCTGTCCCTGCCCAATCTTGTCTTTCCCACTCCTCATCCTGGCCCCAGTTTTCCCATCCTGACTCCTGCTCCTGGTCTCCTTGCCCAACTGTGACATTGCACTCTATATGATTTTATGAAAATATGCTAATGAGTGTGAATATAATGTAACTGGTATATGCTGCATGCAAAATATCTCTTGTAAGGTATAATCTACTGAGTGTGGTCATCCTATTTGTATGTATGTATCATTCTTGTATCTGAAACTAGAAATATGAAATATAACTCTGAGGGCCTATTGTAATTATGCAAAGTGTTGGCCATTAATGGTGGTTTGGAATCTTGATGGCTCCCATCAACCAGGACAATTGACAGTGGATGGTTCTGTTTGCTTGCAAGCCTTCCTGTGAGTCAGGCTGGGAGGAATGAAGGCTTGGGGTCTCACAGGACATGTGACCATATCACCTGGTACTGAAATCCATCTTAAACCTAGTGCTTTTCCATTTAGAAGGGGGGGGGGGACCCAGAGAGACAAAAGATTCCCGCCTTGTGCCAAAGCTATAAAAGGAGGTGGAACAGAACAAAGCGGGCAGCAATCATGAGAAATTCCCTAGCTACCACCTAAGCTGAAACAAGGGCTGTACCAAGGGAAAGGATTGTGCCCAGACTAGGAAGGCGTCCAGTCTGTGATAGAAGCTTATTGAAATATCTGAGGGTGAGATTTTATCTGTATTCAGTTTTCTTACTGTACTAGACTTAGACTTGCATGTTTTATTTTATTTTTCTTGGTAATTCACTTTGTTCTGTCTGTTATTACTTGGAACCACTTAAACCCTACTTTTTGTATTTAATAAAATCACTTTTTACTTATTAATTAACCCACAGTATGTATTAATACCTGGGGGGGTGCAAACAGCTGCACCCCCTTTCGGTCTGCCACCTGATGTGCCGAGACTACCTCTGAGCCTGTATTCCTTGCCAGCTTGGGGGTTCAGTGCCCTGCCTGGTTCGAGCCAGATGCTATCCTCCTACAAACCCAGACCCAGGTCTGAACCACGTCCCCCAAAAGCTGCAGGCTTAACTGAAAACAGCTTAAGAAGTGCTCTTGTCTCCAGCACCCAGATGCCCATTTCCCAGTGGGGTCCAAACCCCAAATAAATCCGTTTTATCGCTTATACGGGGTAAAATCATAAATTGTTCGCCCTCTATAACACTGATAGAGATGCACAGCTGTTTGCACCCCCCCAGTCTCTGCTCCCTGCTCCTCATCTGATTTGTCTCTCCCCTCCCCACCCCACCGGCCTCCAGTGGCCCTCAACCTCACATTTACCAAACCCACAGTCTTCCTCCCTGGGCTCCTCATCAAATATCAGTTTCAGCCTCTTCCCTTCTCCGCCCCCACCATCCATTTCCTTCTCTCTTTGCTCAGCAACTCCCTGTTCTTCTTCTGATTTCTGGCCTCTCATCAGATCTGTGTCTCTTCCCCTTGACCCACTGGTTCCCAGTCCCAGTCTCTTTGTTCAACCAGTCCCAGTGTCGCTCCCAGGCCCCGCCACTTTGTTTCCCTCCCTGGCTCCCAGTCCTAGTCAATTTGCCCAACCAGTCCCAGTCTCCTACCCACTACCCAGTTTCCGTCTTTCATTCCTTACCAGCTTCCATCCCAGTTCCCGCACCCCAGACTTCTTGTCCCAATCTACTCTCCCTGCCCCTCGTTCCCGCCCCGCAATGCTAGGTCTGGCTCTTGTCCCCTCTGCATTTGAAACAGGCAATTTCCCCCCACATGCTCCTTGGGCACACTGAGAGGACAGGAGAAACAGACTCCCTGCTCTCAATTCAGGTGCCCAACCTGTCTGCAATGGTAGGGAGCAGCAATTACAGGGAAAGACCTGCTGAGCTCTCAGCTGGATAAAATCTTTGGGAAACAGAACTGAAAAGCTCTAACAAGTCTCTACTGAGTACTTGTGAACTGCAATTTTTCAGAGGCTTATAACTCAGCCAAATTTAAGCAGATTTTCATGGGGGTGGCAAAAGGAACATCCATGACATAAAGGTCACCTCCCTGCCAAATATCAAGTCCCTGCTCCAAAGCATGGATGCACTAGAGTGTCTCAAAGAAAAGGCCACCAGAATGTTTTTAACCTGGGTTAAATGCTGTTAGAAATGACTGGATTGTTTTTGCTGTAATTTTCCAGCAAAGTTCAGCCTGAAACAGATACCTGGCACGGCAAATTTCACCCTGAAAGCTTAAAGCTTGGCAAAGTTAAAAGCAACCAAAACTTTTTAATGGGAAGTGTCAGACAATCTTAAGAATATGAGGCAAGGTGGCATAAAGCCCAGACAGACTAAGCGTAGGATTGGGAGACATAAGTTCTAACCCAGACTCTCAGTGAGCTTTTGGGTAAGTCTCAACCTGTTTGTGTCTCAGACTTTGCCTACAGTAGGGATTTGACCCAATTATAGCCATTGCTGGCCAGCCTCCATACACCATATATAGACAAGGCTGCTATTTGCATGGGTGGAATTTACCTTACTTTCAAGGAGAACTTTACCCAGAAGTCTGCTGTATCACTCTTACATCGAGCTGATGCACATCATTCTTAAGATGAAAAGAGCTATACGTACTAATTAATAATACTTTTAGGGCCAGATCTGCCCATAGAGCAAAAGATGTGGGCCCCCCGCAGTGTTCGGTTCAAAAGGATCAGTGGTTCACCAGCAAAATCCCCCTGGAACACCTGCTCCTCCAAGGAACCTGGAGACAATAGATGCAGACCAAAAAGTGAGCACTGGCAGCATAGGAGGGAGCAGGGCCAGGTAAACCAAGAGATAAGTTGATTAAGCACATATTTAAGGAGCCTTCATTGACAGGCTTCTATGGAGCCACAGACAGAACTTTAAGTGACTTTCCGCCTGGCAACACCCACAGGGATAGCTCAGTGGTTTGAGCATTGGCCTGCTAAACCCAGGGTTGTGAGTTCAATCCTTGAGGGGGCCACTTAGGGATCTGGGACAAAATCAGTATTTGGTCCTGCTAGCGAAAGCAGGGGCTGGACTTGATGACCTTTCAGGGTCTCTTCCAGTTCTATGAGATAGGTATATCTCCATAACTCTGTCAGCCCCACTTGAGGATTTTGGGGTGTCAATGTCTCTATGTGCTACAGCTGGTCAAAAAGAGTCAGAAAATACTTGCCATTTGTCAGTGAAATTTCTAGAATTCTTGACCAGCTTTATCACAGCCATGTAAGGAGGGTGGGCTGGCAACATGAAATCCCTGAGCATTTGCCTGGGTAAAATGGGCCCAAAGCATTTAAAAGGAGCTCTACAATATTAGGAAGAAAAACAACAGCAGCAAAATGCTACACATGCATGGTGCAGGTGTTGGACAGAATCGGAGCTAGAATCTGCCCACGAAGATAAAAGAGGGATGGGGAATCAAGTTTATCTCAATGCAACCAGTAGCCACCCTCATTTTTAATACGAAAGTATGGCCTGAAGAGATTATAATACCCTGCATGCAATGCACCATCTTGATTCTGGCAGCCAGGAAACTTGCTCCATTTTAGGTGATTTAGGTGCAGGCATGTTTTCCATGCAGTTAAGAAAAGTCTGAATGTCTCTCAGCGTTATAAAAAAGGATATTTTATTAATATGGTACTGTGCAATTCTCAAAGGTAGTTAATACTCAAAGTATTTAATATTAAACAGGAATTGTGCCATACTAGAAAATTACAGCTTCATCTTGTCTCCTTCTCCAGAACTGTTGTGATGTTACCAGCACAGTACACATGGAACAGGAATCAAGTATCAGAGGAGTAGCCGTGTTAGTTGGTCTGTAAAAGGCGACAAAGAATCCTGTGGCATCTTATATACTAACAGACGTTTTGGAGCATAAGCTTTCGTGAGTGGATACGAAGTGGGTATTCACTCACGAAAGCTTGTGCTCCAATATGTCTGTTAGTCTATAAGGTGCCACAGGACTCTTTGTCGCTTCTTATGGAACAGGAAGTTGATGCTTGTTGAGAAGCTCCATTGCTTATTTAAAAAGACAAACTAAAAGGTCCTGTTATGGGTAGACCTATTGGGTCTCAGCTGTCTTTCATTCAGGATAAAATGTAAAAAGCAACTGAGGTCCTTTATGGAATAGATATCTGAAACAACAGGGGCCTCCACCCAAAACAAAGCCACACACAAGTCTGGAGAAGGAGTCAGATTCATGTGGCACAAGAGGTGGTGGTCTGACTATGGTCTAATAAATTCAGATGCAAGGGACTGATTGGATTGGAGAGGTGTATCTGTGTGAGTGCGAGATGCATTGAGGAAACCCCTCAGATGCACATAAAGGAAAGGAGCAGAGTGCCAAGGAGATAGCAGAATAAGCACTGGGAACATAGTCCTGAGTAAAAGCCTAAAGAGAGCTTTTTGGGCTGAGTGCTGGTTGACAGAGGCTTGGAACTGTGAGCAATGAAACTATCTCTTGTTTGATTCTTCTGTATTCAAGGAAACAGAACTTTGTAATTTCTTCTTGTGATGTTTTCTAATTAAAATATGACCATGCAAATCATTGTTGCTACCACTGTTATATAATTGCAACAAATCTTATACAAAGTGTGATGTATGGCCAGAAAGAGTTAAGCAGCTTGCAGGCTAGTTGACCCAAAGTCAATTATTAGAGACATGGTAGAAAAGTGTGTGAATGGTAATTAGGGCCACTCCATGCTAAATAGGCTAGAACTTTGAAATGCAAACCTGTATTGTTAGAAAATTGAAGGTGATACTAATTGTATGTGCGTACTTACATCTTGTCAAATGTTA